TTTTGCAGGTGTTGCTGCATCCGGTCACTATAGAAGCTGAGGACGACTTTCGGATTTGGCGGCTATCTGAGCAAGGAGAGTTCACCCTGTAAACGACGCAAGACCTCACTGACACTGCAGGTGTAAACACGACGGGCCACCTGGTGTGGAGATCGTTGTGGTGGACCCCAACCATGCAAAGGGTCAGAACTTTCTATGGTTGATGAATCATAATAAACTAATTACCAGCGGAGAACACCACCGACGACACCTGACGAGTGATCGAGTCAAGACAACCGTGCACGTAATCCGAGACTGTCCATGTGCCAGAGCCACGTGGTTGGCTTTACTTGAGGGCGAACCATACGCCAATATTTTCGAGCCAAACATCTAGCGATGGTCACTCCACTACCTATCAGGACGTAGAACAACGTAATAGATTCTGCTTTGTTCGCAGGTACGTGCTGGCTATTATGGAAGAACCGAAATAGCCACTTGTTCTAAGGAAAGCTATAAACCTATGCACAAATCCAGTTTGACACAAAATAACTCAAACAACAGATTCATTTTGCTTTCGAGAAAAAAAAACCCGCATATTTAGAGATGGGGTACTCCGCGAGAGGCGACTCATTTGCTGGCAACCACCACATCAAGGTTGATTGGGTATCAACATAGATGGCTCAGTGCTACACGCCCATGAGAGCACTACATGTGGCAGCATCATGAGGGGGATGATGGTCGATTCATTAAAGCTTTCTCTGTAAACCTGTGAGGGGGTTCAATTACTCGAGCAGAGCTAGCTAGGATTGTGCATGGGTTGAAGCTTGTATGGGAATAAAGGGCTAGAAAAGTTGTCCTATAGACAGACTTCACCATGCCATTGACCCCTGATAGAGTCAGCGACACCCACTCATCCACACTATAAAATTGTTGCAGAGATTAGACGTTGGATGGATAGACATTGGCAAGTCAAATTAGAGCACGTTTATGTCAGGAACTGGTAGGAAAGAATCGATTGAAGGCGTGATTAGATCACTCTCCTTAGAGTGTTATTGGCCCCCACTACAAATTTCTAGTAGGCTCGAGAATACCTGCCTCGAAAAGCTACCTTTCTGAAATGATACCTCTTTTCACAATATTCAAACGCTAATTGATTAATTAATTAAACTGCCAAAAGACTCAATTCTTATACTTTCCTTCTCCCATCAATGTGGTATTACAACTCTATTGACTAACTCTAACAATCCCCCACTTAGTCAACAAGAGTTGAGAATACCTGCCTCAAACAAGTAACGCATACATAAAGGTATCTTTTCGATTTGTACCTTTACCTAGTGTAAACAACTCAAAGTTGATAACGAATCAGTGACGGGCTTAAGCCTAGGAGTCACGATCCAAAGCTATAACCGAAGATGCGACACACGTACTTTTCTCTTCTCTAAAGCACAACCACCAACAAGGGTAGCACTATTATGGCCATGTGCTGATCCTGTTTCATGAGCATTCACAAAAGTTGACCTCTACTTTTGTTAGAGCGGCACCACTCTTAATGCTCACATAGGTGACATTCCATATGAATTCATTAAGAGTTCTATAACTCTAACTCACCCTTCTTTGGACTAATTTACTTGTACAATACAATTAGTACCTTAGTTAGAGTAACTTGTTATTACCACATTGAACCTTTTAATTAGTGAATACCTAAAGAAAAGGTTGGGTTCCCATCAGTTCTAACATCACTAAAGGTCTCAATCCCATCCCTTGGGATGCCTCATAGATCATGCCTCTTGGTAATCCCTTGGTAAGAGAATTTTCCAAATTATTGTTTGATCTTACATACACAATAGAAATGATTGCATTAGTAATCAAATATCTAACTTAATCATTTCTTAGGCTTATATATCTAGACTTACGATAGTAAACCTGGTTATAAGCTCTAGACAAAGTAGCCTCACTATCAGAAAAGACAGAAATGGTTGACATATGTTGTTGCCACAACTCTACATCTAACAACATGTTTCTTAGCCATTCTGCCTCTTTTCCAGCCGCAACACAGGCTAGGAATTCAACTTTCATAGTGGAGTGTGTAACACACGTTTGTTTCTTCTAATTACTTACCAATGGAATTTGTCAAGGTAACTTGAGATGTCACAAGTAATTCAGTTCCATTTCCAGATTTTATTGGAAATACCATCTAATTACTTACCAATGATTTTTCATCAAGTAACTTGACATACCACAAGCAATTCAAATGAATATTCTAAATCAATGGTCTAAATACTTACCAATGGTATGCACTTCATAAATATCTCATAAGTAATTCAGACTTTAAGTTCAATACGACCATCTCAATTGAGCTCTCATGCAAAATTGTTTTTCAATGGTATATGTCTACATATACCATATACAATTCTGACCAATAGCTTCACACAATAATCATACGTCAAATTGTTTTCCAATAGTATAGTGTACATATACCATAAACAATTCTGGCAATGATTATTTTGATGATCACCATTCTTTGGCAAACTTATTCAATCCTTATAAGGATCCATCTTAGTCTCATTTTCCTTGTCCTCATGGCATAGGAAACATGACGTCATAACCCACATACATGATAAACAAATTACCCTAATGGTGAACGCTTTTCACCATTATTTCAATTTATTTCAAGATCACACCTCAAATAATTTTGTTACATAAACCAAATTTTGCATCTTGCAAGCATCAAAATTAAAACTCATACGAATTTTGGTGACAAAATTTGCTTCAAGAATTCAACGTGAATTCTTCCAAATTCAGACAGAATTGAATTTTCTTGAACTACTCCCATAATATAAATTATGAGTTTGTTTTCATCTCAAATACTAAAAAAGTATTTGATATCACTTAACCAAACTGAATTGGTTGTTCGATCACCAAGTTTCCAATCATTTTTGGAAACAACAGTATATTGCCTATGAAACGTATTGTGACAATATGGATCGAAATGGCTATTGCCAGTGCACTGCCACCACCAATCGCATGGCATTAAGTACCATCAGTTGCTACACTTCCTTTCTTTTTCAAAGATATGGTCCAATCTCATATGCATTTTCCAATTTGTAAAGGACCCGAAACATATATGTAGGGGTGGCTATACGGTCCGGTCCGGTTAAATTGGCCCAAATTGATCCGGTCCAGTCCAGTTTTTTTTAAAATATAAGGACCAAAGATTGGATTGGATACGGTCTGGTTTTGATCCGGTCCGGTCTTGACCCAGTCCGCTCCCAATTCGGTCTTGATTTTATATTGAGTTTGTGGGGATTTGAGTGGCCTAAGGCCTGAAAGGGTGAGGAGTTGGTTAAGTTTGTACTAAGTGCAAAGGTTTGTCACCATTTATGCTAATTACCATTAAGTTTGGGTGTTGAGCTCTCTTATCCAGTCTTTTTCCAGTTTTTTATCCGGTCTCGAACGGTTTTTTACCTCAAATCTAAGCCCAAAGATTGGATTGGATTGTTTACTATCCAGTCCGGTGTCGGTCCAGGTTATACGGTCCGATTTCGGGTAAAACCAAAACACCCAGACCAAATAGCCCGACCTACATATATGTATGTAAAATATATATATATATATATATATATCATCTGTTCTCACACTTATAACTGCAGAAAACAGGGATAGAATATTTACCTGTTTCTAATATTCCGAGACGTAAAGAACATGACCCTTTACTTTTCTGATGATCGGAGGAGACAAGCGGTTACATCCGATCCGCTCAAATTAATTCCAAGCATAGCATTGATTCAGGCGGGCAACCTCCTCTTTGGAACAATGGATATACATCCATTCTCAAATCGATTAAAGGAGATTAGAATGCTTCCCTTTTCTCCGGGAGCAACTCGTAGAAGCAAGATTGGACCATCACATTTTTTCTTTTCAATGCATGCAACGTTCCATCTTAAATGAATGCACGCCTTCAATGTACTTTCCACTCCAAATTTCATTTTTCAAGTAATAACACTTTAAGATTGTCAGGAACTGGTAGGAAAGAATCGATTGAAAGCCTAATTAGATCACTCTCCTTAAAGTGTTATTTGCCCCCACTACAAATTGCTGGTAGGCTCGAGCAAACCACCCCCATGAGTTCCTTCAATTTTAAGTCTGGAAGCAACAATCTTGCAGACTTCTATGGTTATGAATTAGAGAAGGAAAACAGGAAGAAGTAATCTTTCTCTCGTCATCAAAAGAGTTATGGCAGTCCTCTATTTATACTTGTGAAAACTGGAAGTTATCTCCGAAGAGACACAGCCTTTCACAGAAAAAAGCTAGTTACCTTTCCCGAAAGGACACATCCTTTCTTAGAAAAAAGGTAGTTACCTTTCCCGAAAAGACACATCCTTTCACAGAAAAGAGAAGTTACCTTTCTGAAATGATACCTCTTTTCACAATATTCAAACGCTAATTAATTAATTAATATTAATTAATTAAACTGCCAAAAGACTCAATTCTTATACTTTCCTTCTCCCATCAATGTGGTATTACAACTCTATTGACTAACTCTAACAGTTTATCGCGATGCGAACAATGTAGCTGATTATCTTGCCTCGCTTGGGCATTCCTTTCTTGTAGGGATGCATGTTTTCAACGTTCCAGTGAGTACGTTGTTGTATTGATTGTACTTTGATCAGGTTGGGGTTCATACGCCATGTTTGATTTAATGCATAAAGGTTGGGGCGCTCTTTAAGCGCTCCAATTTCGGGGGGGAAAACAAAGAAGAGAATGTGTAAAAAAGGTGACTCAGCAACTCCTTGATTTTAGTCAATGGCAAAATAATAAGATTCGATCCAATCTATTAGTCAATGAATAAATTTGTTGTCAATGGGTAAAAATTTATATTTATACACATTTAGTCGATTTTCATGGTATATGATGCTCTATTTTTACTTTAATGGTATTCTTATCTCATTTAATGGTATTCTTATCTCAATTCGGATACTGAAGGATATTTTGCCTACTAAAGGATGTTAACATCTTATTTTCTTCCCCATCATATGTTAAAATATTTTGAATAATCCCAAAATAGAATATTACATAAAAATACGCCAACCTGTTATTTTGGATTGCCTAAACACAAGTGTTGAAGTGCAAACCAATGGCGAGATTCTTCATGCCAGGTGTGAATCATATCCAATCCAACACCCACCCAAAAGTTAGATACAATTTGTTTATCCAAAGATGGCATATAATACTATATTAGACGATATTAATCATGCTTAAGTAAATTCCACAATAACGAACCTGCTAGCTGCTAGCCTGCTACCCCATTGTTAACTGGCCTCTTCTATCAAACGGCCCCAACAGGTACACATTGGAATATTGAATATCTCAAGCAAAAACAAAAATTTATCATCAACTACGATAGCTACTATACTTATATTTATATGTACAAAACCCTAATTATAGGGTGATCCATCCCAATAAACTGAGTAAACAAGATTTAAATGCCATCATAATAGCCACCAAATGTGACTTGAGCCCTTGCAATAGGAGCCCCTCTCACAGCTGAGATAGCATCATTGAACCTTGTTGCATGTTGAACCACCTGCTTAATCCTCTGCACACATTAATCATAACTACCAATCAGTGTATTGGATAATCCTAAATCCTAATCCTAATGTCTTGACAAGTACTTGGCAATAAAACAAGAAAAGGCAGGGAGTCTCCTTTACTTCCTGGTGGTGGTTAAGCAAAGAAATAAGACCAAGTAACAGGAATGACAAAAGAAATCATGTTAATCAGTTGTGGAAGCAATAAAATAGTGGAGCTTGTGGACAAACCATCCGTTTTATCTTTCAACACAGAAAAGGATCAATAAAATAATCATAATAAGATGCTTAGAGTGCTGAGAAATTCAGCTTTGATCCAATCATCCTCTCTCCATATTACTTAATCAATACTCTGCATAACCATTTCCAGGTGGATCAAACAATTCAAAGGAAAATGAAAGGAACAAGAAAGATGTCACTTGCCAGAACTACAAGTAACACATAACTTTCTTTCTCTATTTGGCCAATTTTCAGACAAAAGATTGAATTTGGAGTGTACCACAGCCGTTAAAGGAAGACAATCAGCAATAATTCAACATTCCAAGCCATGGACACACACAAAGCTGCAAACTTGCATCAAGATGCCAAATTCTGCAGGATACCCTATACGATCTATGATCCCTCCCAATTGGGCAAATTATGCAAGAAGGACAAACACTGATCCAAGAATAAGGTCACAAGGGTACAGAAAAAGTACGAAGAGAAGCTAAAATTATCAAAAGGGAATTTCAGAATGGGACAAACCTTGTCATCAGTGTAAACCTGGAACCTAATCTGCTGCTCCCTCTTCTGCTGCTTGTTCCTCTGATGATTGCCAAAGATGATGATGCAAACAGTAGCAGCAGCAATCCCAAATGAACAAATGGCTCCAACCCCGTGCAAGCTCCACTTCCAAAGGTTCAAACCACCACCAGTATCACCATTTCCGCCACTACCCTCTACCCACCGAATTCCCTCCTTCTCCAAGCTTGGATCATTAGTATCACTACTGTCCTCAAAGCCAAACTTGCCAGCATCAAATTTGGGGGAGGATAAAAGGGATGACGATGAAGATGACTTGGTTAGGGACTTTGGTGAGTCCAGTTTCATGTCGACAAATTCATTCTCCGTCATCTTCTTGAAGAAAACTTGGGAAACGGAGTCCTGATCAGCAGCATCATCAGATCCGGTGAAGGTTGGAACTTTACTAACTTTTGGGATCACCATCATCGTCCTAGTACTACGAGAATCTGTGAGCTGTTCCTCCTGTGGTGGGGTCGATTGATCTGTTGGTTCCAATTCGATGGGAAGCACAACCCTTGAGATTGAGCTCTTAGGTGGAGAAGATGGGCAGATGAAGTAATTCATGTCTAAAACAGTATAATTAGGGCTCATTGAAGAATAAGAAGGAGAGGAGGTAGAAGAAGAACCTCTCCTTGACGATGATTTTGCAGGGGATGAAACCCTCTTGCCACCACCATCGTCACCGAAATCGAAGAAGCTTGCGTCTCGAGGGAGAACTTCCCACTCCTCCAGATCCATATCTCTTCCCTGATTGAAAAAGAAAAATTATGGGTTTTTGATGATCAGGGGATGAAGTGAAAAGGGTTCGGGCTATGAGATATATATACGGGAGCCAGAGGAGAAATTTCCGGGGGAAATTATTTAGATGGTGAGTGAGTTTAGACTTTAGAGTGTGGAACTTTCTTCATGGAAGGAAGAGCTTGGAGGTAAATGCAATCAGGAAGGCGTGTAGCTTCAGTGGGGGAGAATCAATGGCGGCCATTGTTGGGAAGGGGAGTGCAGTGAAGGGAGAGAGGGGCAATTGGGGGAAATGACTCTGTTTGCTGATAATAAGCTTGATGGGAAAGAAAAGAACTGAAGAAGACTAGAAGAGAAGAGGTTGTCTTTGAGGGAGGAGGTGGTCCTTCCTTGTTGTGGGACCCAGTTGAGATAATTTCTAACTTGATTGTTATTATACCTATATTATATCATTTTATTTTAATGTATGCTAAATAAGAAGGTTTAATTCACCCGCGTAGCCATAACTTTCACGGTTTTGATAAATATAGCCACTTTTTGAATAATACACAGATGTAGCCACACTTTTCAAACATTGTGGACTAATCTAGCCATTTTACTTAAAACATTTGACGGTGTTAAAGTCTCCATCAGTTAAGTGGACGTTTTGCTGATATGTCCACCTTAACGTTTTGCTGATATGTCCGCCTTACTCTAATATGATGATATAATATAGAATCACAACTAATCAATCCATTATCATAACGCCTTAACCTTCAATTTTGAATTCCAACCCAAAATCCCAAAATATTAACCCTAACCCTAAATTTCTAAACCCTAAATCATTCAAATTAAAGTAAATCTTGAATGATATTTGTACAAATTCATGTTTTTCTTGTTCATCAAACCACAAGTGATGATTAATATCGTTTTCACATGAATCACCTTCTTAGTATGACGATTATGAGGCGAGTGCATTGAATACACCCAAAAATGTGGGTGCACCGTGTAAGGAAGTGGTTAAATACCATACATGGGCCTGTATAAGATCCGACATAACATTCTCCCAACAACTCGAGTTATTGGACTAACTGGTTTATGACATGGTATTAGAGCTGGTTTGTCCATAGGTCACGTGTTCAAGTCCTCACGACTCCCAATATTAACCGTTGTCTTCAAGCACATGGTATGGCGGACCTGTGCAAACTTCAAGCCCATGAGTGGGCTTTCGTTTGAGGGGGCGTGTAAGGACGTGGTTACGTACCATACATGGGCCTGTATAAGATCCGACAAAACCTTCTCCCAACAACGAGAGTTATTGGGACTAACTGGTTTATGATACACCGAATACGCCACCATATATATATTAGCCACAACTATTATGAAGCGGGGAATTATAGCCACAACTATGGAAATTCAAATTTGATGAACCCCTTGATGAGGTTTATTGATCAAAATAGCACAGCTAAGGAATCCAAGAGTTCCCTCGAGCAAGAACACCACAAACAGGGTATGGTTTGAATGTGTGTTGGTGGAAGTTTCGTGCAATTCTCACGAAGGGAGAAAGGCTCGTAAACTATAGGTAGAAGCTCGACCACGAACAAAATGATTAGCTGAACGATACAAGCACTCAAGCTGCTTAGAACTCCATTCTAAACAACTGTCAAACTCACGAAGCAACAAGCTTTGTGAACCAAACTCAAGTTTGTATTCAATTCTATGAAATCTGAAAATTACAATGAATCAAAGCTACTTAAAAAGACCTAGCCAATCCTACTACTCTTAGAGAAGTTCTAAACAAATTACAATTGGAAAAGGAAATAAAAAACAACAATGAAAAGGAATTAAACACAAAACAGAAAAGGAATCCTAATCCGATAAGGATTTGGATTGCCTGGTTTCCAAAGACAGAAACTCAGCTTCGATACGATCTTTGGAGCTTTCGTTCGAGGCCTTCCATTATTCATTCCAGTCATCCATCGTCATGTCGTTTGTAGTAGAAGAAACCTACTTTCATGAGGTATGATTCTTGAAGCTCGACTCTCATGACATCCCTTCATTTGAGGCTTCCAAAGTTCCTTCATGGACTCGTTCCAACACATAGAATATTTCGGAAGTTTTTCCCATGTTGAGCTAGCAGCTTGATCGACCTGGAAATCACTCTTGTGGGCTTCCTCTCGAGCTCCAAAGCACATCAATGGAAAGATGAACTCTTCATCTTCTTAATCGATCAATTCCAGCTTGATTGAGGGCCAATTTGGGATCATATAAGTCCCTCCCCCATAAAAAAGCTTTGGCCCTCCTTTCCTCATATGCCTCACAGAAATGCTCCCAAATTGGGTCGATGAAAGGTTGCTCGAACTGGAATTTCTGGAAAGTCGGAGTAGTGTTCTTCAGCAACCAAATTGGGGCTTTCTTCTCCAAGGATCTGTAGAGCAATTCAGAGCCACCATTGGGTTCAGCAGGCATCGAATTGAAATTCTGGTTAGGGCTCGTGCCTTGAATCATTGTCCCCGTCATCGAATCGTTGCCAGCTTTCTTCCCGCCATTGTCGAATTTCAAACTCTCGAACCCAGAAAATCCAATTGAAATTTGGGCGTTTTGGATAGAGGGATCTTTGGGTGGAATGGACGTATCTGAGAGCTTCATGTGATCACCCTGAATGATTCTGCATCAACCAATTGCTTTGAATCATCCCCACTCGCTTCAACCCATAGACTCAATTTTTGGTCGAGTTGGCTCGTTTTTAGGGAAATTTCGGGTCGAATTGGATTCGGCAATCCGGGTATGTTCATCCTAATTGAGATTTCATTTGAGCTTCCTGGCGCAATTTGGAACGTGCCTGTAGTTGCCGTTTGGATCGACTCTTCGCCAGTTGCTCCGACCAATTCACTCTATCTCCTACTCTGCTCCGGCGATGGTTGGCAGGGTCGGCGGGGACATATCTTCCCTTCTTTCTTGTACCCAGTCAACATGTATCGCCGAGTGACAAGAGTGGCGACATTGTCTCCCTCGCCAGACTTACCACTTGACTTACCTTTAGATCGACGTTGACTTGCTTCAAGCTGTCGTCGATCTTCTCGTACTTCTTCTGGTTACAGGGGCTTCAGCAGAATCTCCTTCTCCTTGTGCCGAAATTTGTAGCAGTTCGACCCTCCGTAGTGGCATACACCTCGGTCGAATTGCCAGGGCCTCCCGAGAAGTAAATGAGTAGCTTGCATTGGCGCGACATCAAATTCAAGCTCGTCCTTGTACGCTTCGATCTCAAAGTTGATCCTAGCTTGCTTTGTTAGACTAACGACACCATATTCGTTAAGCCAGTGCAAGCTGTATGGGTCAGGGTGTCTCTTCATGTGTAGCCCTAGCTTGTCCACTGCCTCTTAACTAACGACGTTGGCACAGATGCCTCCGTCCACGATCACAGACAAAACCTTTCCGGCGACCAAACAGCGAGAATGAAACAAATTCTCTCTTTGGCTAGTATCGGACTGAACATCCATGGTTAGAACTCGTCGACTAACGGTCATGAGCTTTCCTGGTGCAGGTTCTGCTTCAATTTTCTCGTCGACGTCATTGTCGTCTGAATTTTGTTCGTCGTCGGTGAGATATTGACCGTCTCTGATGATTAACGTCTTCAGATTGGGACATTGATTTTCTTTGTGCCCTTTACCATGGCATTTATAGCACTGGATGCCTTCAGAGCGCTCAGCAAGTACTGGATTTGTGTTCCTGGGCACCAATTTGCCAGGTACAGGTCGTGTCTACTGGGAATTAGAGTCGGAACTTGACTCTGCGGCCGCCTTGTTTTCCGGCGTGAACTTCCTCGACGAACTCTGCTGCTTTTCAACCTTAATTGCGAGGTGAAGGGCTTCCTCCAGGTCGACAAAAGATCGAAGATCCACTTCTTGTCGAATCTCGTTGTTCAAAGCATTAAGAAATCGCGCCACCGTCGCTTCTCGATCTTCCCTGACATCGGCCCGCATCATCAGCAATCCAAGTTCTCGGAAGTAATCCTCCACACTCCTTGACCCTTGTTTAATCCCCTGCAGAGATTCATAGAGTTCGCGTTGGTAATAGGCAGGTACGAACCTATCTCGCATAATTCCACGTAGCTCGTCCCAGGTCGCGACCGGATTCTGATTATTTCGTCGCCGGCGAAGCTGCAGCTGCTCCCACCACTCGAGAATTCAAAAGTAGCCATAGCTACTTTCTGGCCTTCAGTAAACTGTCCACATTGAAATAAAAGCACAATCTTCCTTTCCTAGTCGAGATATGTCGAGGGATTCATTGTCCCCTGAAACGGTGGTACTGATAGCTTGATGCCCGGAGGGATTGCCGGTTCTGCTTCTTGTTGTTGTGCGCGACGATAACGGTGTGGACGTTCTCGATAGGGATCAGCAATGATGAGACGTCGTTCAAGCTCCGACACAGGTCCTTTCGACCTTGTCCAGGGCGTCGTTGTGACCACGCCTTCCTTCGTTCTGTCCATTGTGTAGAACCAGGCTCTTGCTGCAACTTGATGAACCCCCAGATGAGGTTTATTGATCAGAGTAGCATAGCTAAGGAATCCAAGAGTTCCCTCGAGCAAGAACTCCACAAACAGGGTATGGTTTGAATGTGTGTTGGTGGAAGTTTCGTGCAATTCTCACGAAGGGAGAAAGGCTCGTAAACTATAGGTAGAAGCTCGACCACGAACATAATGATTAGCTGAACGATACAAGCACTCAAGCTGCTTAGAACTCCTTCTAAACAACTCTCAAACTCACGAAGCAACAAGCTTTGTGAACCAAACTCAAGTTTGTATTCAATTCTATGAAATCTGAAAATTACAATGAATCAAAGCTACTTAAATAGACCTAGCAAATCCTACTACTCTTAGAAAAGTCCTAAACAAATAACAATTGGAAAAGGAAATCAAAACCAACGATGAAAAGGAATTAAACACAAAACAACAAAGGAATTCTAATCCGATAAGGATTCGGATTGACTGGTTTCCAAAGACAGAAACTCAGCTTTGATACGATCTTTGGAGCTTTCGTTCGAGGCCTTCCATTCTTCATTCCAGTCATCCATCGCCATGTCATTGTAATAGAAGAAACCTACTTTCATGAGGTATGATTCTTGAAGCTCGACTCTCATTTCATCCCTTCGATTGAGGCTTCCAAAGTTCCTTCCTGGACTCGTTCCAACACTTAAAAAATTTCGGCAGTTTTTCCCATGTTGAGCTAGCAACTTGATCGACCTGGAAATCACTCTTCTGGGCTTCCTCTCGAGCTCCAAAGCACATCAATGGAAAGATGAACTCTTCATCTTCTTGATCAATCAAATTCCAGCTTGATTGAGGGCCAATTTGGGATCATATCAAAATTATTATCCAAACGTTAACTATCTGTTAACAATTTTGTTAGTAATACTAACTAAACTTTTATGTTTTAAAGTTATCAATTAAAA